GTACCCAATGACTTCTTCTTGCTCCCAAACATTAGGAAAAAGTCTGTAGTAAACGGACGAGCAGGCCGTTGAGACAGGCCGTCGCAGTGGCTATTATAAAAAAAATTGAACTTATAAGTTTGGAATGAAATAGCGGATCCCTACAGATTTAGTAAACATCTATTTAATATCATACTATTTTAAAAAAAAATTTCTAATAAGGAAAAATTATTAGATTTTAAACAATTTTGCAACTATTTTTAATAAAATTATTCCAAATCATATAACTTAAGGTTGCTGTGCCGGAAACAATTTAGGGTATATGACTACCATAAAATACCACATAAAAGACAACAAAAAAAAAAGTTATTAAAAAATCTATACGAAAAGAGAATTAATTTAATAATAAAAAAATGTTCGTAATGAAAAAAAAAAATAAAATAAAATAAACAAGAAAATTGCAAAATTAATAAAAGTTCAAATAAACTGAAGAATGTTTTAATGTAATTGTTTCATTAAAAATTTATATACTTTTAAAAGCTTTTGTTGTTGCTATTGTTTTTGTTGTTGTTCCGTATACTATATACTCTATATACTGTATACTGCATGTGTTGTTAAATGAGGGGCAAAATATGCAAAAGGCTCGCAAAATATTCCTTCTTGTTCGAGTAACGCACGAGGGTTTCGTTCCCAAAAACTTTGCATATAAGAAGGAACCGAATCAGATACAAAGGAAAATATGTTTCCTTTATGAATTTTTAATACAAGTGCAAATCAGGAAAAGCTATACTAAAATTTTTCACAAAATAACTTTTACTTTTTGCCAATTTATTTACATTGCAAATACAACAAAAACAAATAAATAAATAAAAAAAAAATTTTAAAAAATACTTTTAAGTCTGTGAACAGTGCAGATATACTTTTTTAAATAAAAGAAAAAAATTATTTCTTGATATAAAATATATGCCACAGATTTGCTGTAATATTTGTTGAGCCCTCGAATGTGTCGCATTGCCAGTAAATATGCGTAAGGACGTGTGAGCAGGATATATGGCCAATATCTGCCAATAAAATGTCAATTCACCGCAGCAACTGCAGTCCGTGTACCGTTGACACATTTCATATGTTGCACACTGCAATTGCACATGAAAATTGCACAGATTTACATGCATACACACATGTGCTGGCAGATATCGATGGAAAGTATCTGCATTTGCATGCCGCATGTTGTCGATAATTAATTTAAAAACGATACACACATTTGGCATTTTTCTGCGAATGCCTTAAGTGCCCAAATATATAAAGTAACCTGAGTAACATAGATATATATAAAGGTCCATAAGAATTTCTCTTTTCAGTTTCAGTACCAACTATGAATATTAAAAATTTAAAAGCATAAATGTATGTACAGAAAAATTGACAGTTTCTCACAATATCTTAACTCAATTTAATTTATAGTTTAATCAACATATTTTCTCCCTTAATTAATAAATTTATTTAGTTTCGTTATGGCAGAAATCTTTTTGGAGTCCTTCATTTTCTCCCATGTCTCCCAATCACCTGCAAATGATATGATGCGCCCTCCATAGCTCAAATAAACTGTGGCAATAATAACAACAAACAACAACAACAACAAAAAAAGAATATTTATTTGCGCTTCCTTCAAATTAATGTCGTCTCCGCCTTCATTTATTGCCACCATAATTCATTTAATAAATTTGGATTTATGGATTGTCAAGTAAACAGTTCTTCGATTGCTTTTTTATAACAACGTTTCGCCTTAGACAATGGCAATTTAAGGCAAATTACTAAGCCAAAGGACATTGTTTTGGCTCGACAATGCCTGCACATACGAAACGTCCCGGAATAAACAACAGTAAATTATGCCATATTTTTACTATTCTCGGTTGTTTAGGATTTATGATTGCTTAAAAATAAAGTTTTTTCTTCCGTTTTCGTACTTTAATAAATCAAATAGCAGAAGAAGTGCTGAGGATTGCATTACACAATATGTCTATTTATTATAAATATAAAAAAAATCCAGTTCAAATATATGAAAGTTATACTTATTAGATCGCATTTATAATGCAGTCGAATTTTTTTTGAGTGTATTTTGAGACAGACAAATTATGGGTAAAGAATATTCATAACGGAGACAAATGTAACTCCTCCACACATTGCTTTTAACAATACGGCTTTGATTTGGACCAATAGAAACATACTAAGAGCTCTATTCCATATCTGATTTTAACAACTCCTCTATTAGAAACATTTAGACTTTTCAAAGTGACCTCAAGATTGATCCCATCAAAAAATACATAAAGGATAGAGCCGTGAAACTATTTGCGAAAACTGACGGACTTACCAACATCGTGTTATCAAATCTCAAAATAGTTACAAGCTCCTCGGGGAAGTATGCAGACCTGAGGTCAATTATTAATCTAGTCAAGGTGTAAAGAGGGGTTTTGAAGATACCTTGACTTAATAAGGAGTAAAAGTGCTTCAGGTCACTGGCTCAAAAGAGCTTCAACATAATAGAGGTTTATTAACAAGTGTGAATGTAATCTGTTGCGATAGTGTCGGTCAAATAGTAAACCAGAAATCTGTCTTTTTTTGCTCTTATGATAACTAAGTACAGAATATAAACGGCATAAGAAATTATCTAACTAAGGTAGACCACGAAGGTCCATTGCGATACCAGATCAGAGTCTTGTTTTAGCGATTGTATGCATCACTTAGGATGCGCGTTTCATTAGGAAAATTTATTAAGATTCCAACAGAGACCTCAGGTATGTACTCCAGTCCTGCAAAACTGAAAACCCCCAAGTATATTTGTCGAGTTCTCGAGAGAGCCGGGCAATTACACATCAGATGCTCTAGAGTTTCCTCTGCACCCGGCTCATTGCATTTCCTGCAAGCATTGTTGTGAATTAGGTTTAGTTTTCGGGCATGTGATGCAACCAAACAGTGACCTGTCAACACACCAATTAATGTTCTACAGTTCCTTCAGTTAAACGATATAACATTCTTGGTGTACTTTTCTTCGTATATGTGTCTACACATAATTCTAGCTGTTCTACAGGTGGTTAAGTTCCGCCACCTTATCTTTGCTCTCCTTATCATGTGCTCGTCCAGAAGGTTATGTATTTGTTTCAGAGGTCTGAGTACTTCGCTCGTTTGTTCCTCTGAAAGTTTTGCGCCATTTTTAGCAATAGCATCAACTGTCTCATTTCCCTCTATGCCTTTATGACCAGGAATCCAGTACATACAAAGTCTGCGGTTGCAGGCTAGTCTTTTTATACTAAAATACTAAAATAATAAAATTATTCATTAACTGGCTAAGGTCTACTCTGGTCTCTGTAACACTGATGATGAGTACTTGGCAATACTCGACAACAGCGTTGTATGCTCAGCTAAATTTCAATATAATAATTAAAGCTGTTGTGCTTGTCTTTTCTCTGCTATTCGAATCCGTTTAACAAAAAAACTTTTCTTTTTAAAACTAATCTTAACGTATTAAGGACAGATTGTCAGTATATATTTGGAATAAATGTTTGATATTTCTTTCAGAATTTTCTTTCTTACCTTTGACATATTGTTTCGTTTTTCCAATAAACAAAAACAAACCTTAAAATCACAAATATCTGAAAGTTACAGTAAACAATAAAAATTTACTGAATAAAAGAAATAAAAGTGTTTTAAAGTTAATTATGTGCCACAAATTGTAAACCAAAGTAACAACAGCAACAAACGTACCAAAAACAATGCAAATAGATAATTGCACCGAAAAGTATGCAACACAACGTGCCGTAAATTAAACAGAACAAAAGTGGCAAGTGTTCGCAAAGCGTGCAAGGCATGCATTGAATGTACTGCATGCATGCATGCATGCAAGTCAGGTACCAGAGGCAGGAATAAATTTGCGATTTTTCATTTTGGGTGAAGAAAAGCAAAGAAAACTCAAGGTAATTAAAAATACACAAAATTGAATAAGTGGAACACAAAGCAGGATGATAAGCAGCAGTGTTACAACTGAAATATCTGCTTTCCTGCTTATTTACAAAGTAATGCAAGCAAAAACATATGTTCGACAACGAAGCATACGAGTGCATCATCCCAATAGACGATGTCGGGGATAGCAAGGTGAGAAGGTAAACAAATTCTGAATTTACTTTGAACTTTTGTAAGGTTTTCTAATACTTTCAATTCAGTATTAAATTGCTTTAAATTCGTTTTAATTATAATAAAACAATTTTGTATTGTTAAGGAAAGAACCTCATACTCGTATCTTGTATCTTGTATCTCGTATCTCGTGTGCTTGGAATTTGCGGTTAAATTGTATAGAAAATGTGTGCTGGTGTTTCGTTTCGGTGCGCCCGTTTGTGCTTATGTGGCTTTTTAATGAGTAAAATTTTCTCGAAATTGAATTTAAGTTTTACTATTTCGCAGGCAATTTAATGATAGTTTTGTGCGGTGGAACAGTAGCAGTGCATAGATTTTTCAAGAAGCCAAACTGCTGCATATGTTGCATATGTGTGCTCTGTGCTGTATATTGAAATAGTACAATGGTTGGTAGTCCTTGCTTGAATGAAGCTTTTAATGCGAGATTTACATACTCAAACTTGTACTTATAAATAAAATTAACTAACATACATAGAAGGCATTGTAAATCTTTTGTTAATTTACGGATTTTATTCGCAAAGCTCTTTCCTGTTTTAAGTTTACTTAACAAAACTACATTAATTTTAATATAATTTAAGCTAAATAAACCTTCTTTGGCTTTATAATATAATAATTTTGTGCTGGTAAAGTGAAAGTGCTTGAATAAGTTTAAATTTTGTTTTTTGCTATATAAAATAAACTTTTAATTATATTTTAGTGTAGCATTTCAATAAGTGCATCCTAAGATTAATT